GTATATATTTTTAAAGTAGTCTTTTATGTGTATTTTGGTCTACCTTACAATATTATTCTCCTCCAAAGCATGTTTACCACTCTGGTTCACAGAGTCCAGAAAATAAAATATCTGGACTCTGAAGCTGTATATTAAAGTGCTTTAAGGAGCTTGGGCTCTGGAAACAGCTGGTCTGGCTCTGAATCCCAACATTGCCATTTCCTGGCGTGTCAACTTGGGTAGTTTAAGTAACTCTCTCTTTTCTCATCTGTACAAACATGTTATAAGGTTGTTATGAAGATATAATGAAATGGTCACTATAAAGCACTCAGATTGTCAGTTATTTAAAAAAAAATCACATTTGTTTACCGCCTGGGTTGGAGTGATTTCCAAAAGTACAAGATTTCCTGTGTCTCATTTATGATGGGATTTCTTTGATTTACCTTGAAATGTAAATACCTTCCCTTTGAATACCGTTCCCACAGCTGAAGTCTGTGTTCCCATCTGAAGGCAAAGCAAAAGACAGAGCTTGGCCTGAGGGTAGATCTCTACAGAAAGGTCCTTTCAGATCCATCAGCCTGTACTTTCGGCTTCTGGTTTATTATAAGCAACTGTAGGAAGACTTGTGTTCAGACCAGGGCTCGTGATGGGGATGACACCAGGAAGGCACCCAGCTGCTGGCCGGCTCCTTGGAAGCAATACACGCCTGCTCTGTGGGTACTTGCGAATCACCTGCCGGACGAGTCTCAACTGAGCATCCCCTCATGTTATAGACAGTCAGGGTCCTGTGGGTCCTGTGGGGCCTGGGAAGAGACATGGCTGGTCTGCCTGCTGCTCTTGAAACGTGGCAGTGCATTTCTAAGTGCTACCTCTATTTTTAACTTAAGTCGCACCTGAGCTTCTTAAACTGGTCCTGCAGGTTGTCGATCCCCAAGTTTAATACTGCAGATGAGAGAGAGGAGTTGAAATAAGGTGTGTAGATGAAAACTTAGAGGAGAGCTTGTATGTGTAATTTATTCCTCATACAGTGTCCAAATAGTCAATTTAGTACCAAATGATACTCATAAAATGGTAAAACCTCACCATTCCCCACAAGTTTTTTATTATTTATTTATCCCTCCCTCCCTCCCTCCCTCCCTCCCTCCTTCCCTCCCTCCTTCCCTCCTTCCCTCCTTCCTTCCCTCCCTCCCTCCTTCCTTCCTTCCTTCCACGCAGGGTCTTAGTTGCAGCATGCGGAATCTAGTTCCCTCACCAGGGATCGAACCCAGGCCCCCTGCATTGGGAGTGCAGAGTCTTAGCTACTGGACCACCAGGGAAGTCCCACCCCACAAGTTTTTTGAGTAGATTATTTACTGCCTCTCGCTCTCATTGTTCAAGCTGTGGGGAACCTTTGACACAAAAATATAAACAGATATGAGGGGTTTTTTTTTCTTTTTTGGGTCTTGATGATCATTTTATTTTTGAACATACCTTAGTATATGATGTATTTTTCTAACCTGTTAAGTGTTTTAGATACTAGATTATTTCCTTTTTTAAGACAGGCCCGGGCTTCCCTGGTGGCGCAGTGGTTGGGAGTCCGCCTGCCGATGCAGGGGACACCGGTTTGTGCCCCGGTCCGGGAGGATCCCATGTGCCGCGGAGCGGCTGGGCCCGTGAGCCATGGCCGCTGAGCCTGCGCGTCCGGAGCCTGTGCTCTGCAACGGGAGAGGCCACAACGGTGGGAGGCACGCGTACCGCAAAAAAAAAAAAAAAGAAAAAAAAGACAGGCCCACCTAGAGACTAGATAACTGAACTGCAGAAACGTGTATGTAAAGCATGGAGCTTTAGTCACCACATAAATTTTCTGAAGATAAAACCACGATTTCAGAGTTTAAAGTGTCTGATTCTATTTCAGAATTTCTATGACGAACCATAAGTTTTAAAAAGAGATTTCTTGAGCTGCCTTATCGACATTTCAAATGCACGCAGACTCCCTTCCCCTCCCCCAGACCCCTTCAGACCCCCTTCCTGCCATCTCCTCCAAAAGGAAAAAATGAAAGCAACCATTGCCTCTTGTTGTCAGTAGAACTTATTCAGTGATTTACTTTCCAGCCAACTGCAGCCATTGCCATTGCCTCTGGGCGCTTGTTCAAAAACGCCGAAATGAAATAACAGATTGGCCAGACCACACACGACTCTGCAGACACAACCCTATTATCTCCTCATCTGTCACCCCCATTAGGCAGCAGCCTGGGAGACGGGATGGTGATCACGAGTATTTAGGCATCTCCTTCACGTCCACAGCTCACGGCTCTCCACCTGGCTTCCTGGTTCATCTTCTTGCGGGTGCATGCGTGGGGCCCGGGCCTTCAGATCCCTAGAGCATCTTTAAGGGCTTCTGTCCCTGCTTCCCACCTGAGAGAGTCCTGAGAAAACCAAAACAAGACACAGGAACCAGCTTCCTCCGGTTGTCCATTGTCGACCACCCATCGGTGAATGACTAGGGCACGGGCGGCACTGTGTGGACTTTACTGAATATCCAGTCTCTCTCCACTTAAGTTATTTTTAGTCGTGCTATTAAGGTCAGAGCCAAGCCGAGCAGTTGCTTCATTTCATATTGTGAGGCCTCTGCAGGCTTGGTCATCTCCTGCAAAGCAGATTTCTCTGGTCAGATGACTGCTTAGGAGAGGAGGGCCTGTGTTTCCTCGAGAGAGACTCATTTTCTGATTGTGGCTTTCTGGTGAAATTCCTTTTTAAAATTATAGGCACGAGAGACAAATGTTTGAGAAGGGTATGGGCTTGCTTTCTCCCTTGGTCGAGTGTTAAAATACTCGATCCAAAGGAAAATGCCTCTTCTCTTCCAGAGTCGTGTACCCTGGAGACTAGACACGGTTCCTTAGGGTGGTTGGCTTTTGGGGGGGGTTCCCCTCCCCTTGAGCTTCACCTTTTATTCTGTCTTCGTCCCATCCATCCGTTCAGTACACAGCCCCAGAATTACATCTGTCATTAGTGAGTGATTCTTGGAGGAGGTGCAGGGTTGGGGTGATGTTGCTTGGTTTTGCCCCCCAAATCCCCTTGTGCCCTACTGGATGGTGAACACACAGCTGGAGTAGATGAGAGCCGCAGGGTCCACTGACCCTACTGAGGACCATTGATTCAGCCCTGCTCCTTACAGATTTCTGGCCACTAGTTGGTAAAACCTGGACGAGGGAGACAGTAGCCTTGGGCTGAGGAAACAGGAAGGAGGGGAGAACCCAGCTGAATGGATTTTAAACAGATGGACTTCCCACTGAAACAAGCAGGGTTGGGCTTGGGTTAATCCATCCTGGAGAGGATTGTTCTCCGTGAAGGTTGAGCTGGGGCTGGGTGGGAGCAGGCCACCCCTCGCTCCTCCCAGGTAAGAGAACAGGGTGAAGTGAAAACCTTTAAATATGTTTGAGACAGCTTACGTGACATTTGTAATCGTTGGTGTTCCTTCTTGCTGATTGAATCCTAACTGCCCTGTCCCATCCTTTCCACACCAGCTCACACCCCAGACAACAGCTTCCTGGGGTTCGTGGTCGAGCAGCACCTGAACTCCAGCGATATCCACCACATTAACGAAATCAAGAGGCAGAACCAGTCCCTTGTGTACGGCAAAGTGGATAGCTTCTGGAAGGTGAGTCAGTCTGTGCGTGCCTATTGCTCTGAAAAGAAGCTTGTCGCGTAATTTAATTTAACTTTGATCCGGGGAGTGATCAAGCCAAGTGCCCACGGCTTGACAGGGTCTGCTTAGAAGTAAAAAAGAACATGCAGGGATTTGGGCTGATCGGCGTCTGGGTGTCTAATAAAGGCTGTATGTACCCGCTCATCTGTACGGTGGCTGCACAGCAGTGCCCCTCACTCTTTGCATTTTGGAAGTGATGCATTCCGGCTCCTTTCCCATCCTCTGCTTGCTTCCAGAAGCCGGGGCCTCACAGGGGCTGGATACCTTTCTGGAGCAAAGCATTGCACAAGGAGGCCCTTTGCCAAGTGACTCATTTCCTCTGCCCGCTGTGAAATGATTTGTAAAGGGAGGCAGCTCCCTTTGCCTGGGGAGGGCAGTGGCCTTTGCATCCTCTTGGCTGTGGTCAGTACTGTGGTCAGTACTCCACTACGTGGGAAAGGGAGATGCCTGCCTGGGTTGACCACAGGCAGTTTACATGGAGACATCTTGGTTGAAACAACATTCTTGGTCACAGGCTGAGCCAGGTTTTCCAAGAACACTGGACTGTTGGGCCCTGGAGGGCCCCTTGGTCCTCCTGCGTTATTTATTTCCAGGCCCCATCTGGGGAAGGTATGAGAGAAGAGGAACCGGATTGGGGCCTGACCTGTTGACATGGCATGCAAGTCTTTTTATAAGGAAAGTCCGCCTTAGTATGCAAATTTTGCAGTATTTCGGAGGACGTGTTTGTACAAGATGGAACAGTCTCGAGGACTTCGAAAACGTGCCTCTTCCTAAACATAAAAGTTAATCACTTTCTGGAATGCTCAGGAACTGTGCTCTCCTGTTACCCTGTCTCCCTTCCTTAGGAAGTTAGAAATCTGATCCCTGAGAGAGCACACATGATGTGCAGGTGAAGGATTCCCTGTTCTTGGTTTTCTGACCCCGTGTTCAGAAAAGGGAAAACATTGCCACCCCCTTTGCAGTTCTAAAATGCTAACTATGTGGAAGGGGCAACACATCAGCCTATTTGCAGGGAAGCTGATTTATTTCCAGGGAAGCTGATTTATTTCCAGATAACTGTCTTTGCTGTAAAGAGCTAGAATCCTGTCTTAGTACAGTAGTTCTCCACTGGGGACAGTTTTACCCCCCAGGGGACATCTGGCAATGTCTAGGGACAATTCTGGTTGTCGTGATCGAGGGTAGGGACACTGGCATCTACTGGGTAGAGGTCAGGGATCCTGCTAAATATCTAACAGTGCACAGGGCAGCCCCACAGCAGAGACTTATCTCGCAGAAAATATCAGTAGTGCCAAGCCTGAGAAACTAGGGCTGGTTAATAAGATTTCTTTCCTATTATTCCACATTTTCTCCTCTCAAGTAGAATAAAATCAGTTGAGATTATAAGTGGTTATTTCAGATGTTCCCATGAATTTATATCTTTGCTTCCTTTGTGTCAAAATCAGCCCTGTGTGAACAGAGCATTTTTCAGCTGACATTCAGGTGAACTCGGGTTGAAAAGGGCACATTAGATGTTCTCGTTCTCAACTCCGTTGTAAAGAGAATGGATCATGGCACTGGTTTTAGGAAGACTGGGGCTCTTAAAAAAAAAAAATTGTAACTCCCTTCTCCCTCCTGTACCTGTTCACAAAAACTAGTTTGCATGTCCACGTGGACTTGGCCTTGAAATTATACACTTCTGTTTTGGACCCAAGTGCAGCTTCTTCCTAGGTGCTCCTGGCAGCTTTTTCAGTTTCCCTAGAAAAATAAAACAATAAATTGGTTCTGAAGGCTTTTTGGCCACCTTCTTTTGGACAAAGTAATACTGCCAGTAAAAGGATGATTTTCTTGATGCCAGTCAGAATCCCAAAAGTATTAACCGTGTTAGCCCGAGTGGTTTAGGGTTGGAAATCCCTCCAAAACCCCACAAGTGACCTGACCTTCCCCATCCTGTACATCACTCAGGTATTACCAAAGACTGAGTAAGTGGTGAGTTTACATTAGAATTTGTTTGAATACCAAAAATCTGGGGTGTTGTTTCCATTTTAATACATTTTTATTACCCAGCATTCTTTGATGCAAAAGACCCCAAAAGATGAAAAGTACTGTAAAGTTTTCACATCAATTCAGGACATCATCTCAAACTTTGGAACACAGCACAGTATATGAGAGTTTAGTTTCTTTCTTCAAAACTTCCCCATCCCGTAGTACCTAGTGCATAGGAATCAGTCACGTTCAACACTGACTTTAGCTAGCAGGAAGGTTGGTGTATTTTTTTCCAACCTTTCGCCCCATTCTCTCCTCCCATCCAACCAGACGTCCTTGGGAAGGGGAGCAATACTGTCAGTCCCGGGAGGTCTGGGATTGCAGCGGGCGCATGTGGGCTGGTACAGCTTTGGACCAGATGATTTGGGCGGTCCTCCCTCCCCCTCAGGTTCTAGGACTCACTGAAATTCTGAAGATAGCTGCTATGCTATCACTCCTCCGCCACTTCCTCCCCACCTGCCGAGGCACGTGATTGGGGAATGCCACCCCATGACCCCTCCACCTTTCACCGATTGGCGCAGCGGGTTGTCCTCTGACCCAAGGCAGCAGGACATTGGTGGTTGGCTACCGTGATTCTGGCTCAGAAAGCCAAGCTAGATCAATGGGATTCTTCACTTGACATTGGAAAGTAGAAGGGCAGTGAGCCGTGGGTGTAGAAGTCAAAACGATGTGTCCAGAGGTGTGATGAGACCCAAAAGCCTTCCAGGAGTCCAGTGATGAGGAGGCGGGACTGATTTGGAAAGGGAGAGGGTGTTGTTGAGAGGATGGTGCAGCAGAACCATAGGGAGGAGGGGTACCACCGTGAGAAATGTGGGGTGCTTTGCAGGGGCCAGGTAGGAAGGCAGACAGACAGAAACCACCCATGCAGCCTGGAGAGAGAGAGAGAGTAGTTGCTGGAGTTTCTGGAAGCTTTCTTTTTCCAGATCATACATGTCTGTCATACTCTGTTCCCTTCTAATATCCTGAGTCGTTTCTGTCCCTTATAGTCATATGAAGGGTATCTTCTAAAATATGTCTTCCCTGCCTTCCAAATGCCTATCAAGAAATACAGTCTGTTAAATATACAGACTAAGGAGGAGTGGGCTAACTCTTCAACTCCCCGCACTGGTCCCCAGTTCATGGCTGAGGTACCCTGTGGTCTTGTCCTCATGTTATAATACATAGTAGGGAGGTGGCTGGGAAAGAGGGGACCTTACTGTCTCATTCCAGAACCCAAAGATGCCTACTTAGGAAGCATCATTACCCACGACGCTTAGCATCAAGTGGGACGGCATAAAGCCTGATTCCAAGTACAAATATCTTTCTTAGCCCGATAGCCCACAGTTCTGGGTTCTCCCTATCTACCCTGCTGCAGTCTGGTCATTGGCATCAGCTAACACATGTGCCTAGAAGGAGAGAGGTCTGTCCAGTGTGGCCAGATTCAAAGTCCTTCAACATCCTGTTACCTTAAGTCATCAGGGAGTGAAAAATTAGGCAATTTTGTAAAAATAAGGGATTTTGAAAATTGTAGAAATTAGAAGTAACTGAAATCTTGCTTAACTGTATTCTTTATTTCCATGTTTCTTTAAAAGAAAGTATCCTGAGCACAACTGACGCTTCTGTTGATGGTGGGTCAGCATTTTTCATATTTATGGACCCACCATGATGTTCTTATTACTTCTTGGTACACACCTGCCGCTAAAGTAACTGTTCTGAAGGCCTTGCTTTGAGCCCCTCCAGGGAATAAGCATAGGGGCTGAACCGCAAACTGGGGCTCCTGCCTTAGCCTGCAGTTCACCAGTGTGAGAAGTAATTAACCACTTTGAGCCTTAGATGCCTGACCTGGGAGATGGGAGCAGTAACAAGTACCATGTAGAGCAGGGCTTCTCAGCCTTCATAGTACATAGGAATCACCTGGGATCTTGTTAGAAGCCGCTCTGATTTAGACCTTCTGGGGGGGGCTGAGATCCCACATTTCTTGAAAGCACCCAGGTGAGGCACAGGGGATGCTGATCAAAGCACGAGACCTTGGGATGATGGGGATTGTGGAGAGTGCTTGGCCCTGAGTAGCTGGCCAATCAGTGAATAAATAATCCCTTTTTCCTCTTTACTTTGCCCTTCCTGCTCCTCCTGTCAGGCTGCCAGCTCTTATGTCACTTTTTACTCCTCATAGCGCCTGATTCCAGTCACCCCCCGAGTCTCACTTCCCACTAAGCACATTTCTGTACATTTGCAAACATTGCTACTGCTAATCTCTGGTGCCTGGCCTCTTCGAGTGGGGCAAACCTGTGATGAGTAGTGGACTCTGAGAGGAGGTGGGAGGCCTGGTGTCTTCCTGGTCATCTGCCGTCCTGGTTTGTACAGTTGGTGCCTACTGGGCAGTAGGGTGTAGTGGTCAAGAACACAGACGTGGGTTCAAATCCTGCCTCTTGCCACCCCTGCCTGATCTTGGGCAAATTGCTTAACTTCACTTGGCCTCATTTTTCCTGGGGATGATGGCAATAGGGTTTCTGTAGTGATTAAATGCAATAATATGTGTAAAGTGCTTCGAAAATGGCCTGGCACAGAGTAAGTCTAAATAAATGATTGCTATTATTAATATCATTACTGGGGTCAGATTGGAAACATAGTGAGAATTGATGGGGATGTGAGATTGGGGATGTGCAGGGTAGAGCCTGTGGGGAACTGGCAAATACAAGCCTGCGCCCAGATATTCAGATTCCTACTTTGAAACTCTGGCCCCTGAGTGAAAAATGTCTTTGTAAATAAAGTTTTATTGGGACATAGCCACACCTGTCCATCACCTATGGCTGCTTTTGCACTAAAGTGTCAGAGTCGTATAGTTGTGATAGACACTGTATGACCATCAAAGCTTAAAATATTTATTATCTGGCCCTCTATAGGAAAAATTTGCTGACCCCTGAATTACATCATGTCCCATGTAAACCAAA